GGTGTTACAACTGGAGACAGATCTCATGCTGATGGGAGCTGGGAGGCCCTGTCCTGCACCCTGCAGCTCATCCTGTGTCACAACACCATCCTGACACCCTACACGCCTTGGTACAGCTTAGAGAAAAACCCAATGGCAGTGATACTGCAAGGGAATCCCCCGTTGCTCAGAAAGCAAAGCTGTCGTTTGATTGTTTTTCACCTGTGAAAGCCGACAACTTCAATCTCAATCTGAAACCAAAAACGTCAGACTTCCCTCTGCCACGCTGAGCTCCAGAGGGCATCCCTGCCTGATCTCCCGACCCGCTGACGTTGTCTCACTCTGCTCGGGCTCCTCCACAAAAGGAAACCGGATTTCCGCTGCAGGTGGCTCGTCTGGCTCTGCGCAGGCGCTGTGTGTGTGTGCAAGCGTGTGTCTCGTGTGCGCTGTATGTGTCAATCGAGACACATATGAGTGTGATTTTCCAGCCGCCTTTGACCTGCACTTCAACCCACACTCATGTCTCACCTACAGTTTCCTGTTCCCATGGTTTCGTCCCCACACACACCAGTCATTTCTCTCCCTGTCACTGCAGGGCAGACACAGCGCTCACAGCCTTCAGGAGGGCCAGAGGAAATGACACCTGTCCAACACAGGACTGAGCCACCGCTCCTCCAGAGATGACCAGGTCTCCCGCGGCCTGACTGGCTGCCCTTGGCCTGACCAGGTCTCCCACGGCCTGACTGGCTGCCCTTGGCCTGACCAGGTCTCCCGCGGCCTGACTGGCTGCCTTCCGCCTGACCAGGTCTCCCGCGGCCTGACTGGCTGTCCTCCGCCTGACCAGGTCACCCTCAGGTCACAACTCAATTCAATTCAAGATGCTTTATTGGCATGATCAGTGTTGCCAAAACAAAACATGTACAATGAACATAAATAAAAATCTACAGATATTTAAAGACATTTATAATACAGACAGGCTGTGACAGGAGATCACATACTGGGTTGCCAGTTCAACTGTCCCTTCTCCCTCTTCCAGTAGGATTGGGACTTGTGATTTTGGCAGGTGTGGGATTTCTGGAATTAGATTTGTGAATTTGGGAAAGAATGTTTCTCTAATCCCAGACTATCTGTCACAGTGCAGTAGGAAGTGCACCTCTGTCTGTATTTCTCCCCGCTGGCAGTGGGAGCACAGTCTGTCCTCTCTGGGCAGCCAGGTCGCCCAGTTTCTATGGCCAGGCTGTGTCACTGAGCCTGTACTTCGTCAGGGTCTGTTTCTTTTCGCTGTTACTTATGTTGGTCAAGTATTCGGCTAGTGTGTATTGTCTATTTAGAGTTATGTAGCATTCCAGTTTATGTTGTGTTTGTGTGTGCGTGTCCCAGTGTGTGAGATATTGCTGTTTGATCCGTGCTGTGATGTGCTCTCCCTCAGCCTGACCGACTGGGTTGTGGACTGACCATCCCTCTCGCAGCCTGCCCAGGTCACCTGCTGACTGACAGTCTCTCTCTCAGCCTGGGTAGGTCACTCATGGCCCGACTGGCTCTTCCTTCAGCTTGACCTGGTCACCCGCTGTCACG